ATTCCAACAGTTGTTGGGGCAAAGTGGCAAAATTCCTCAGAAAACATAGAATTATAGCTACCATGTATACACCCATACACTACTGGGTGTAYATCCAAAGGAATTTAAATCACTTGTATATTTATCRTAACACCAGTCACATTCATCCAGATATGGAATCAACATAGGTGTCTATAAATTGATAAATAAAATACAGTGTGTATGTGTGTGTGTGTGTGTGTACAGTGGAATCTTATGCAACCTTAAAAAAGGATGAATTTCTATCATTTGCAGCAACATGGATAAAACTGGAGGGCATTATATTAAGTGAAATAAGTCAAAATAAATCAGGCATAGAAGGGAAAATACTGCCTGTTCTCACTTAGGTGGACACTGAAAAATTGATCTCAAGAAAGTAGAGAATAGAACAGTGGTTACCAGGCCTGGGAAGGTGGGCGATGGAGAGAGGGGAATTCTAACAATACAGGGGTGGAGCTGGACTGGAGGAGTAACTCCTCATGTTCTCTAACACAGTGGATAATGTAGATGTGGCAATGAGACCAGTGGAATGTTTGAAGAGTAAGAATTTTGAATGTTCCCAGCACTAGGACATGATGAAGTCTGCGCTGAGTTATCCCCATTATTCTGATCTGATCATTACACGCCTTGTGCACGTTGCACACGGTACCTCCTGGATATTGCTGTGTCAGTAATAAATAATTTCTAAATGATTYACAAATATACCGCCCAATTTATTTTTCCTTACACAGCAGCTGTAACTTGAAACTTAAATTTTACTATTGGTCTTAGGAAAAAAAGGATGAGAATCATGGCTTCTCTGAAAGGAAGGAAGAAGACCGCCTTCCCAAAGATGGGACTGTCGTTATGAGAAGTGCTAACCCTCTACACTCCAGAAAGACAGTGGGAATCAACAGAGAAGGGGCTTTAAAGTTGCATTCATTCCTGATRCTTCTCTTGGCTTCACACAGAGTTATTTTAATTTACTCAGAGGCTTTCCAAAGCCTCTACAGAAGGGTTCATATATTCGATGAGCCTRTAATCCTGAAAGACATGGCTGAGGCTAATGGCTGCTGAATTGTTATGAGGCTAAAGTCATGTTTTCCTAAAAGGTTTGAAGAAGCACATTTGGTTGGTATAAGTGAAAACTCTGAGAGGTAAAAAGCAGAGCCATGTTACTGGGGTTGTGGCTGCTGACCCGGAAGCCGTTTTAATCAGAAATGGAGCACAGCCATTTGGAAATTCATATACTCACATAGGCTTCTTTTTCATTTCTCTTAATGACAGGAGAGCAGCCCTTGTTTTCTAGCCCCCTCACCCTTTCCTCTGCTCTGTCTTGTCTTCTGATCTGATGGCTCATAGGCTGCCATGCCCCCGGGCTATACCTTTTATTCCTTGATTGACAAACTGATGGGATCTATTTGACACAATAGCTTCACAGGTGGAATTGTGGAAAGTGTGGATCAGATGCCTTTCCTTCATGTATTTTTCAAGTAAATTTTCTCTAGTATCAGTCTCTTCCAAAATGAATAGAAAACTGGCCCTATCACCTTCTCTTCTTTTGTCCCCATTCACACCATCTTGATCAACTGCCCTTCATACTCTTTATCATTTAAATGCTTCAGCTCCATGAAATAGTAGCCCTGATCCTGGCTTCCTTAATCAATTTTTAAACTACCTCTAGATCATTTTACTAAATCTTGTTCTTATTGGGAATAGTGCCTTTTTGTACTATTTAATCTTGCCACTCAGGCATTTTGGAGAAAGATTAAGTAATCAATTCTGAGAATGAATAGGATTTTAGAACCTTTATGTCCTTTGGATATCATCTGGTTCAGTCTCCTGATTTCACAATGCATAGACTGATGTGTGATACTGATAACCTTCTTTATTAGTAAATGCCCTTTTCAAGTTCTCATGTGGCTTTCTAAGATAATGTTTATAATGTTATTCTTTATTTTGTTAACTTCTATATCAAAATTGGATCATATATCAGTTATTAAAGGCTTCAACTACAAATAAAAATGCTTAACATTGGCTAAATGATGAATTTTAATATTTTAATTAAGAATCCAGAGGAAGTAGGGGGTCATGGGKTTGGATCAAGCTTATTGTGTCATCAAGAGCATAGACATTTCTGTCTTTTTGTCACTTCCTCAAGCCTAGCCTACTGTGCTTTTGTCTTTATACCTACTGTCCTACATCATTCTTGTCAGCTGGCAAGAATGAGAGGAAGGGCTAGTACCAGGGTCCTCTCCTCTAAAGCCTGTCCCTGGTACAGAAAGCAGAATTCCTCTCCTAGAAATCCCTAGCAGATGTCATCCATCTCCTTGGCTAGATGTCACCTGGCCCTCCTAGGTGCAAGCAGGGCTGGGAAAGAAGCTGTGGTGGATTGTATCAGCCTTTGTGATAGGAGAGACACAGGAGAAGAGGAGGTTGAGAATGGCTTTTGATTGGCCACTGAATTGTGCCGGACAGAGGTCACTATGAAACATACATTCATTCCTGTGTCTGTATCTTCATATCCAGAGAGGGAATGTAGCTTACCATCCTGGCAAGTTACATTCTGTTCTGAATTCAGACTGCCTGGGTTCAAATCAAACTTGCATTTCTTGCTTAGTATGGCTGCAAGCTTATCTGCCTTTGTTTTCTTCCCTGTAAAAGAGGGATAATAATGCTACCAATTATATGTGATATGTATGAGTAACTAGAAGTCAGCATGGGAGCCAAAATGTAAAAGTCACCAAATCATCAGCCAAAGCTCAGCACCCTGCTTGGAGACCCACCAAGCCCAGAGCAAATATAAGGATCAGCAGCTTTCCCACTTTGGAGCCAAGAAACTTGGAGAGGTAGCACTTAGTGCAGTTATTAAAAGTGACATATGCAAGACTGTAATCTAACTAGAAATGTCCCTGAAAGATGTATAGTCTTAACAGAATTTRTCTGCCTTTGTTTGGATGATTTGTAACTGACATGTTCTTTTGTTTAGAAATAAAATACTTTAAGTCTTTGTAAATTCTTCATGTGTGGAGGCAGCATGGTGAAAGACTTATTTTGACTAAAATATATCAAATCAAGAATCTGAGAGCATTTCTATAAATCACAATATATATGTTGGGGGGGCACACACACACAAGATCTAAATAAGTGACTTCCATAGAAACAGCATCAAAAACTGTGGCAGGGCTAGAGGAGAGGAAAGAAGTCTCTGCAGTGTTCTCAATGATTAGAAAAAGGTAAATCAGGGAGCAAGGGATTGTTTGAACCAGGCTAATATTCAATAAGTAGTTGATGAAGGAGAATTTGTTGGATGAGAAAAGCATCTGAAAATAATTTGAAGTAGTGTAGACTTCATGTTTATACTGGTAGCTGCTATTCACAATAGCCTGAGGATGAGGTGCGGATCATTCCAGCAAAAAAAGAAAAAAAGAAAAGGAATGGAGGGAAACCCAGAGCAGCTTCTGGAAAGAGTTGTGGTCCTGGAGGAGCCTGGAGTAGATTCATCATAGAAGGATCCTTCCCTCTAGGTGAGTCTTGGCCAAGTTGGAGTAGGAAAGAGTAACAGCTATATCCCAGCCAGGTCCATACAAGGCCTAGGTCATGTGGAGGAGGCTCCAGTGACTCAAAACCAGAGGTTACAGCCCCCCAGGGCTGAGATCCTCTGGTGCCTGAGTGCTCAGCATGCACAATTCCTCCATCAAGTAGCCAGTAACCCAGGCCGGCATTCCATCAGAATATGCAGAACAAATGATAGCTAAAATTCTGACATAATTTCTATCTGAATCAATGAATCAGTCCCATGGCTGTTGCTGCATGAATTGTGTCATGTCAGAAATGAAGTCGAACTCCCACCAGTCATTCAGGGCAGTTGTTCAGTTCTCCGGGTGGTCCACACGCGAGGTGTGCGGCACGTGCATTGGTGAGCCGTGTACTGACTACCCTTCTTCTCCAACTTTCCCTTTAGAAAACCCGTTATGAAATTTACGTTGGCATTCTGAAAGAAGGCGGCAAGGAGCTCCTGAGTCACGATGAAAACGAGGCTGCGGGACTGAAGAAGTCTCACTCGAGTCCTTCATTGAACCCAGAGTCATCCCCAATCACCGCCAAGGTCAAGCGTAATGTGTCAGAGAGGAAGGACCACCGACCTGAAACACCAAGCATTAAGCAAAAAGTTACTTAGGATCCACTCTGCTGCCAGGAAGTGCTGGTCATGGAGCAAAATAGGGTTTTTCAAGATATTTCTGGTAATCCGTGAATATATTAAAAAAAAAAGTATGTGACTAAATGGTGCATTAGTAACTTTTTATATTGTATATTTTTGTTAGTTTCTGTACAGGTTGTCTTCGCTCTTGATTTCTTTGCTTTAATGATTTTTGCAACTTGATAACTAATGCACCTTTTTTTGTGAGGGGGAGAAGATCGTGATTCCAGAATGAATTACGCATCCCTTCTCCTTTGGTTTTTCTCGTTTGCACTCTGCTCAGTTGTTTTATGTATTCTCAAATCCACTGTTATATTTTTTTTTAAGGTAAAAAATTTAATCCATTGTGTAACACTTAACTGGACAAACTTTGTAGTTTAGTAAATTCTAGCCAGAGTTAATATAAGCCTTTATATGTGAAATCTTGCCCAGTCACGGAGGTGAAGTTGAGTCCTCACAGATGCTCAAGTGAGAATTACGATGCTGGGGATCGAGATGTTCCTGTGGGATGCAGCTCTKCGTGCACCCCAGCACTTCTTGCTGAGTTCTGACCCTGCTAGAAGCAGGGGAAGAGGGCACAAAAGGTCACAGGACTGGAGAACCTAGGGACACACRTTAGCTTGCTTGAAGTGTGGATTCCCTTCCAGTCAAGCAAGGCAAAGAGGAAGAGAGCCGTCTTGCCACTGAAGGCTGAGGACACATTGATACTAAGCAAATTTTGTTTTCTAACTGATAGTGGCAATCATTGGCTCTTGGGAGCTGCAGCAATAGACATGTGTTTGGTCTGCAGGAAATTGTTACCTCACTCCCATAGGGTCTAGACTAGGAATCCAGAATCATCTCTATCACTGATACCTTTCCATCCAGGAATATATTCTTTTTTGCTCTACATATATATATAGGCATGACATCATCTCCTGGTTGTAAGAATGTTGGGGTTTTCCTTCATAACAGAATAATGTTGAAAATGGAACCCCTTTTGCTCTTTCCTTAGTCAAGACAAAATAATGGAGCAAAAAGCAGCTGCAGCTGTTCAACAGTGGATATAGATTCCCTAAGCTAAATCTGAAAGTGATAGTGTGGATGAATTGTGGTTAGAAAATGGGGGAATCTTCTGATTGCATATGCAGAGTTTCTTAGTTTGTTCTTATGCCAGTCTCTGGACAGCCATTTTATTCTGTCACTGTTAAACTCGCACCTAAATTTTTTTAACCTATTTTTAAATCATTTCTTTCTGTATACTCAAAATAGTTCTGTTCACCTTACAGTCATGAGCTCGTTCCAGTGACAGTCCCTTTGAAATTCTGGGAGATAAACAGAATATTCTCTTGTAAAGGAACAGAAGGGAGTGAATGTTGAGTCCCCAGTGACTTAAAGAACTTTTAGATTTCCACACCTTGAAACTGTTCCCTGAAGCTGTCATCTTCCCAAACCATCCAGCTTCAAAACCGACAGTATCACTTTCCATGTTCTTTTCCCTCCCATAGGAATTTTCTCTACTTTTCCTTAGTTTATTATTGTAGGTACTGGGACCAAAGCATCTGCTGCTCTGCATGAATAGCACAGTTCCAGTGGACTAGAGAAAACCTGCTAAGACATCACGGTAGTTTCTAGTGATATATTGTTACGATGTACTCACATTTAGTTACAGGATTATTTATTAATGTTTACTTCCTTCACCTGTGTACATGTGCATATTTGCTGGTGTCCAGAGAAGAGCAACCCTCTCTGAGGTGGCAGTTGCTTGCTTTGTGGTATTTTGCCACACCTTTGAAAAACTGACTCTAACCTGGTTTAGGTAAAAAGCCGTGGCTACATTTATGTTTCAGAACCGTGAAGCAAACACGGTAGTTACCAGTGTGATCCATGTACCAGAATCATTTTCGTAGCTTCTGAATCCAAGATTTCCACAAGCAAGTTGTCTTTCCTGCTAGAATCTGAAATATCAGTGTTTGTTTTCTGCCTCAATATTTGTACTAGATGAGGAGAGAGAGGTACCCAGATCCTGTCATCTATGAACTTTGGTAACTGAAGAGAAATTAGCATCCCTGACTGGCTTGAATGTGTCTGCCCACCGTGTGTGTCTATGTATATAGGATGTTTGTGTGTTTCACTTAGAGTTTATGATGTACATTGAATGGTACCTTGCTGCAATATTGGTTATACTTGGTTAGCATTAGCACCACCACAGCATTGTTCTGTTAGGAGACTCACTGAGGTTAGCTTCAGGGACTCCAGATATGCTAGTAGGTAACCCCATGACAAGGGCACTTTTGAGGCTGCAGAATGCCACGTTTGCATAGTTTATCTTTAGAAACAATGTGGAGGCTCTTTTGTGAGCCAGGATCCCAGTGTGGTGCTGCTGACCGTCTTCAGGGGATGAGCCCAGCGTGCCTCTTCCCTGAGGCCTCTGGAAGGAGCTGTGTTTTCAGTCTCTGTAGCAAGACTGAGAGTTTGTCCCATGGCTGGAAATGGCCCCTGACTTGACTGGATTCCGAGAGTCAGTCTGTAGCCAACCACAGTTTCTTTTGTGATAATTTCTTTCCTGTGGTTTGAAGAAATGGAAGATGTTTCCGTTCACAGCGACTCCGAGCCTGTTGCCCAATTCACGGTACAGGGGAGCTCTCCTCCTCCTCCCCTTTCAAAGGTACTTCCCCAGCCCCCACCCCCACCCTCCCCATACCTCCTGCTCGCCCCTACCTCAGTGCCCAGGACCCTTGGGGTTTCTTTCCATGTGGGAAATCATTATTCCTCATCACATAAATACATTTTATATTAATTCCTAGTGTAGAAAATTTTGATAAGGTATCAGAATACCATTGTGATAGTCTTGGTGCAAAGCTGACCATGAAAGTGGCCCATGTATAAAATCTGTGGGGTTRGGGGTTTGCCCCCACCTCACATGCTGGCTCTTTCAGGGAGGTGTCGGAGAATTGGTATCAATCAAAATTAGTTACTGGCACGCAGAATCCTTATTTTATTGCCAGACCATAGGCATTTCTGTAGTGTTCTTTTTACAAACATCATTGACCTTATTCTAATAATGTCTAATTAGACAATACTTTTGTGCATTTTAATTAATCTTAGTAAAACCAACATGTGGTTGGGGGGGGAGACCTGATAAAAATAATTCCTGGATTATTTGAACCTTTTTTGACTGCTCTTAGGTAAAGAGAAGACATTTTCTCATGTGGCAGTCTTATGCTACTTGTAAGAACCTTTGTGCTTTTGTGGTTACCCTAATCCAGAAGGTGAGGACCATTTCCTAGAGAGAGGAGCCATTAGAGAACTAATTCTGGAAGAGGAAAATCTGGTTGGTTTTCAGATTTGTAGTCTACCCTGTGGCCAAACCACAGAACTTTGTGAAATTGGGGGAGAATTTACATGACCATCAAGGAAAGAGGCCCTGGGGATGCCTAAGCACCAAATTACACAGAGTCTGGGACTGCTCTGTGCCTGCTCCTGCCTTTATCCTGAGATAAGACAGAGCCTGGCCTGACCTGCCCGGCACCTCTTCTCTTTTTACCTAATCCTTGGCAGCTGGAAGGAAGTTGACCTTATAGACATCAGTTTCTCCCCTGCCTTCCTGTCAAGGCTGCCTTGGGTTTAGTTTAGTTACTTGCCCTTGGAGTTTGAATTCTTTGGCATTTTTCTTTAGTTATCAGTTAAGCTTATTTTGGCCTCAGGGCAGTAAGTTCCTTTGCTTTGTTAGGCCTAAATCTCCACAGTTTGGCTTTGATGGACTCAGGTTTTTAGCAGGTCTCCAGCTAGTCTCCTTCTTTACCTTTAGCAGAGAACAATCCCTTTAGTTTTCAAATGACAGGATTCTTTTTCCAAGTGTAAAACTAGCCCTGAAAAACAGTGAACCAAAGTGGCCTCCTAGCAYTTGTCAAAAGATGAGCCTAATTTATGAATGATAGTGCTCAGCTTTGGATTTCTGTAGTGTCTGTTTTCATTTCAGAGCATCTAAGTAAGTTAACTCAGAAACACATCAGTCAGAGGCACGTGAGCCCCAGGGCCTACCCAGCTCCAAAACTTTCTAGCTTTTTCCCCAGGCCAGGCTGCTGGTCTGCCCCCGGGTCAGCAGATCTCTCTCCACCTCTTCTGACATCTTATGCCATCAGGTCAACTGGAGGACTTTTGAGATCACCACAAAATTATCCCATGATAGATTATTGATAGTGATAGAGAGGTGCTTTGTCACTGTTTGTCCCCTCAGGACTCCTTTTCGATTTCTCACCCTTAAAAGAAGGATTGAAGTCCATAGGCATTCTCCATTTGTACGTATAGTATCCCAGACCTGAGCAGGGGCAGCCTTCTGCTTAGGACAGTAATTGGCCCATTGCATGTAGAGAAAATGTCCTCATGGAGAATGGCAGTAAATACTTGAATCTGCATGACAGTTTGTTGACTTGAATGCAACAGCAAGGAAACATTGCAAGTTAATTGTACATACAAGTAGTTTTCCTTAGGTCTCTCTGGCTCATCCTTTACAATTTATGCGTGTATCTGTTGTACTACAGGCTTGTGGAAAATATTTGTGTAGCCAATATGTCAGATGTCAAAGAAAATGCTTTCTGTCACCTGCCAACGTTGTATTTGTGGATATTTATAGTTGTATGTATGTACGTGCATCTGTATRGATTGTATATCAGTGTGTGGTAAATGTACATCAAAATTATTTTTGTCCTTAATAACCAGTGTAATATGAAAAGCAAGTAAAAACCTCATAGGATTGATTATATGGTACAGTTGTTGAGAGTACATATAGTGGTATTGTTTTATTAAACTTAAATAATATTTTGATTAAAATTTTAATGAGACTATAGAAAATTCCATCTTTGAGCTTTGAATAACCGGGGCAAAAATGACTTTGAACTAATTTATGAGTCTATTGACGTGTACAGTGTGCAATACTGAGGGGGTCACTCATTGTAATTTGGGAAATATACAAAGAAAAGGGGAGGAAGGCAGCCTGTACAGTCTTCGTGACTTTAGCAGTAAGAGCACTTAACCGTAATGTTGAACTGACAATTTTGGGCTTATTACAAAATGTGATGCTTTTAGAGCGCACTTTCTTTATTGTTGTAATTAGTCCAGAAAAAAAATATAGTTTTCAAAATTAAGCAAGTACCCACTATACCATTTATGTACCTGTGTATATCTTAGAATAGATGATACCACTCTCCTGGTGCCGCATCCTTACCCTCTTTAAAGAAATATCACAAACGCTGAAGTATATCAGGGCATCCCAAGATTGGGTACTGTATTCCAGGTTTGTAGGTGCACAAATCAGCAGCTAGTGTCACAGGTGAAAGGACTTTAGGACCAGGTTAAAACTTTATTTAATATTTTTATACTTAGGTCTCTTTTTCCTGCCTCTCCCCAAAGAAGAGCCACTGGCCTTAGTTGTTTGACCTTATTGCTTATATTATAGAGTGTAAATAGATAACTAGAGACTAAAATTTTATTAACCAGCATGTTTGGTGTATTTAAAGCAGCGACTGAGTGTGTCTGAGTGAGTGGCTGAGTGCAGTGTCTTTTGTTTGAACACGCTGCCTCATGTCTTTGTATCTGATGCAGAGAATTGGAATTGTGGGGAGGGAGACAAATCTCCAGCTCCAGGCTGCAGTAGTGTGTTGGTAGGTACACTTGAGTTTTTTATTATTATTAACTCTACAGTCTCAAACTATTTTTGCAAATATATTTCCTAATTTGTTCTTGACGTGCAGTGGACTGGCTCTCCAATTGATCGGCAGGGTCTTAGTTCTGCAAGAGAATTTCCTTGTAAGAATTATTTGTGATTTGAAAAAAAAAACAGCCATTTGATTCAGAAATCATATAGAAAAGGAGTAGTAGAAATAAAAAGTTTTATTTTGGGCCTTAGTCATTTGAAATGTTTGGATTTTAATGCAAAGCCATGGAGGTTACATATCCGAGTAACTATTTGACATGGGTAATATCCACTCTATAGAGAGTATATATGCACATTGAATTTTAATGCTATTAGGATACTGTTTGTAAGCTTTAGGAATAGGCGTAATTAGACCAAATGAAGTGGAGGGGGTGAAGTGGCTGCCTTCTGTGGGGTAGCCATTGCATGTGTTCAGTCTTCTGCTCCTAAGAGATTCAGAACCCGTTTATGGTCCCCTTAGGTATATAAGGGGAAAGTGGATACATCTGGGACCTCATCTGTGTACACCTGCTTGGACACAAGCACACACAGTGAATGTTTTAAGTGATAAAAACATAAGACCTTAAGACACACCAGGCCAGAGTGCTTTAGAGAGGTAAGGAACAAAGAGGGAGGAAGCCGCACCACAAATGCTCTCCAAAGCACCAGGGAGGAATCAGAGCTCTAGTGTCTGACTCTGAGATGCACTGCATCTGTAACAGAGAACAGGGTCATGTGTTACATCCTTCCTGGTGGGTGGGCCATCAGCATTCCTGTAGGTCACAAGCAGCAGCTCTCCAGCTCTCCTCAGCAGCCTGGGTGAAAAGCYGGCATGCACCACTTTCCAGCATGGCCTAGCTGCTTGCTCTGCAGATTGTTCCATTGAGCAAGAAGCACAAATGGAGAAGCCACCAAGCATGTAGCCTAGGAGCAGTAGATGAGGAGTGTCTGCCCTCGTCTCCACGCTGTATTGGTGAGAGCCTGCATTGAGGATGGAAATGGGAAGGAACCTAGCAAAAAYGCATTTCCCTTTGCAGGGTGGAGAGCTGAGCTCTCATAGTATTATAAAAATAAGCACCTTAACTTCAATTCCTGAAAACATTGGTTAATGGAGAGAATTTTGGAGTTTCACTTAGTATTTCCTCATCCATCTGCGAAAGTCTTTGGATGCTYCTAGAAGAGTCCCAGCCACAAGGCTCAATGAAGGACCACACTGCAGGTCTGAGGCTCACCGCTCTGAACCCTGAATCCTAGGGTACTACAGAGGGTGACATGTGCCCTCTCTGGAGCTTCTCCCCTGGCCTTCCACTCCACTTGGGCCTCTACTGAGCAACAAGCACATCCTGGGTTTCAAATGCTTTAGGAWTTCCTGTGAGCTGACCCTGCTGAGGCAAAATACCAACTCGGAGAGTGACTGAGTCACTGAGGGTGGCACGTGAAAACGGTAATGAGAAAAATTCTCTGCCTGAAGTTAGGTCCTGGTATTTTGCCTTTTTAAGATACAAACTGACACTTTGAGCTCTAAGCAGGGTTAGGTGATACTTTTGCCTTTGTACCCAGATTGATTTTCATTTCTGTGGAAAGGGTCAAGCAACACTAAACTTGCTCAGTAATTCTGCTCTGTCCAGGTGAGAGCCGTCGGGTAAAGGCCTCCATGCCTCCCTGCATCCTCTTCTACCTCAAGTTTTAGGAACCCATTTCTAGAACAGAAATTAACACAAGCAGAGAACCCATAATGTCAGCCTTGGTTACTGTGGGACACACCGAAGGGTAGTAGTTTGTATCCTTCAGCGTAAAATAAGATTTTAAATTTCCCAACCTAGTACCTGGATTATTTTCACTGTGGGGGCTGAAACGAGTTAACAATGTGGAACATTCCTTTACCTTCAAAGTTTTCTCCACCAATCACTTCAGTTTCATTGCAGTCTTGGTGCCATATGTCCCCTGCAAATTGTGAAAGTAATTAGTGACAAAGTAGCAGCCTACTCCTTTTCAGTGGCCAGACTGTCAGCATGAGCAGGTTGGGGTAAGCCAGTGGTACCGTATCATATACTGGAAACCTGTTCCACAATATTACCCACCAGATCCCAGAAGTGCCATCTAGAAATCCGTGGCATTTATGGTGGTCATCTTTTGAATGGAACAGTAGCTTATGTGGATATTGTTAAAGTGTTTAAAGTATATTTTGAAAATTAAGTTTACATTTTACAATTGCTTTATTTTTTATTAAAATAGTTGTATATAAATATTACCCTATTTCACTGTTATTAAAGTAAACCTTGTAGACAAGTGGGTCACCTGACATGTATAGAAGCTGTGATATATATAGTACATTTCTCTATTGTGTAAATGTTCAAGAATATAACTGTTCCTGTTGTTTTTATAAGTTGGGGGTATTTTGTTGTTTTGCAGCAACAAAATGTTATTGCATTTAAAATGGTTTTTATGTAACAGAAATCATGCAAAATAGTGAAGGATTTAAAATATGTATATGGTATATGTAAATGTATAAACTTCAGAAAGAAATAAATCCAACAGATTTCAATCATTTGGGGGATGTTTTTATTTGCTTATTTAAGCAACTAGAATTAAAGCTTAAAAAAAATAAAAATCAGAACACCCTGCACCTCTCAATGAAAAGAAAACCGTGATCCCCAAGGTGAACAATTGGCTGTGGTAGTCAAATGAGGTGGTGGTAACCCAACACCTCCATGGACTTGTGTGAAGATTTATGTTTGCAAAAAGATGTTGATGAACACTGCTGGACTCCAGGGCCTCTTGTCATAAATTGGGAGAGGGAAGGGCATTGAGCAGGGGGGAGGATCAAATGAACTTTTTGAAACTATTTCAAGACTCATTTGCATTCTCATTTACTTCTCATCAAAGCAAAGGGTCCATGGAGTCAATTATTGTCCTGAAATGCAAATGCTAATCCCCAAATCAACTGCTTTATTGTGGCTAGTATGTACCTTTGTGTTCTCTGATGAAACCTAATGTTAAAAATAAGATCTGTTGACTTGGAAAATGAAAAATAAAAATTCCTCCCAAACTGCTGAATATTGGAGAAGGAWGTGTTGTGTTTGGGGGTCTGGGCTTTTAGAAACGAGGTCACTGGTTACATCCTTTAAAACATAAATGAGAGTGCAGCCTGGCTGAGACCAAACTGCTATGATGTATAAATCTCAAAGAAATGAAAGGTTTGTTGGGGGTGGGAGGGAGCCAAAGCCTTCAACACCCCTTTGACTTCTACCTAAATCCCATTTTAGGATGCAGAACTCAGAATCCAATCCCTCTCTGCCCAGTTGCCTCTCCTTTGTGTTCCTTGTCATATTTTCTGTGTCACACAACTAATAATATTAGAACCAGAGGGACTAGAGATCATTTTTAAGGATGAACATTCATAAGAGGAAACTAAAACCCAAGGCTAATTAAGATATTATAAGGAAGCAACTAGCAACTCCACTGTCTCATCTCTAGATTAATTCTATTCAACAATACTGGGGGATTCACTGTGAGACTGTCAAATGTTATTGAAAAATTGGGTCAATTGAGAATAAAACCTCCCTGGTCAAGAACAAAGAAAATTACATTTATTTGGGGCCAATTAGGATTGCAATCTAGGAAAACAGAATCAAATGATCTTAAAAATGTACCCTGAGGTCTTACAAAGTAACGGCTTTAAACTGCAAGGGGGTTAGAAATCACRTCACTTTTGATCAAAAATTATGCCTGGTACTGGCAAAAGTTAAGCTGTTTTGTAAGAAAGGAATAGGTTTCTAGGATGTTTGGGGAAGGGGACCATCATAAAGAAGTTCAGCTGGCAGAGGTTAACTGTTTTGAAGGTCAACTCACACTTGGGGTTGGCATGTGGGCAGCCCAGTTGGAGGTTCACTTGCTGCCTCAGATCTGATTAGCAGTGACCTCCCAAGTGTGAGTTTGCTGTGCTGTAGACCAGTAAGCTTGACACTAATGCTGGGTGTATTTTTAGAGTGAACAGAAATCAAAGCAGCACTTATTGGAAGCCAGCAGTTGTTTCCAGGAAGAACCATTTCAGACTCCATTTATTTCCTATTTTGTGAGACTGGTACATTAGGAAATTGCAGGAGACACAGTATCTGGACCTTAACAAGGGTTTTGATGTGGTCTTTAATGAATGTGTCTGGGCAAAATGAAGATACTGATGGTAATATGGTGGGTGGGCATGTAAGCACTTGAACAGAACTAATTGAAGGATTCTTACCAACCTGGAATAGCATTTCTAGTGTCCTGCTGCAAAGCCTGTCTTTGGCCCCATCTGTTCAACATTTTAATTAATAACTTGACAGAAGGCGAATTTATGAAAAATGGGTATGTCATAAGGCTGTGAGAGAATGATTATACTAAATGACAGAATCAGGATTCGAAACAAATCTCATGAGGCAGAAAAACGGGGCAAATTAACAATGTGAACTGGAATTGGGTGTCGGATCTCACATTTCTGTTTAAAAATACAATGATACAAGGTAGAGATGGGACCTCGAGTTATATAGAATACCAGCAGGTGGGCGAGAAAGCCCCGGATTCACAGCAAACTCAGCGAAAGGCAGCAGCAGAGTGACGTAGCTGCCTTTCCGACCGTGTTAATGTGTTTGATTTCTAAGGAAGGTGAGTTGGGCTGCTCCTGACACCGAGGAGACTAAACCTGGATGCATTGCCCAAGACTTCTTGGCATGTCCCAAAGCAGAGTGTGCAGAAGCAGCAGCCAGAGTGGCAACATACATAGACTGAAATGAGAGGGACATGGGAACTGTCTGAACCAGGGGTGATTGAGCCACGAGAGCTGGGAAAACTGCTTCTGAAGGTGTCYATGACTCTGACTTGGGAGGGAAACAAGAACGGTCTTGTCTCAATCGAAGGGGTTTAACTATGACTGATGAGTGGAACCTATTTAAAAGCTCCATAGTGAAAGGAAAGTTTCCCATATTCAAGGCTAACAAGCTGTCTGCCAAGAGGGAGGCCAGGTGAGCACTGGGCATCCCCAGTGGAAATACCGAGGAGTAAATAAAACATCAGATGGGTTGTGGGACTGTCATAGGGCTGACAGATGGCATTATTTGAAGTTCTTAGTACGTATGTGCCTAGGACTCTG